TCATCAGTTGCAAATACTTTTTTTATTTTAAAAGAATAAGATTCTTGTGATATTAAATATTCTTGGTCAAAAATTTCTAAATCTTCTAAGTTAGTAATTGTAGGTTGTTTAAGCAAGAGTTGATCTGATTCATAGGTAGTAGTAGTCAAGTATTTCTTGTTATTCTATCTAAATAAGTAGCATCTATTAGCCTAATTATAGTTGGTATTAATCTTCTTAAACAGGTTATTCTTAAGTAGTAGGGAGTAGAAAGTAGCAGATACTATTTCAACTGTAATAGATATGCGAGTACCTTCAATCTCTATAGAAAGGTTTCTAATAATTCCAAGAGGTCATATAAAGATTCTAATAGCAAATACAATAAGGCTAGTAGAGGCATATTTAATTTTTAGTTCTAGCTCTTTTACAATACTATGAGCAATTATACTCATAGCAGTATCACTATCAATTATTATTTGATAGAGTTGGTTTTTAATTTGTATATTATACTTAACAAGAGTAATATATTGAGATAATAAATTTTTATCTTTGGCTTTCTTATACAAGTATGCAAAGAAGGTATTTCTAATAGAAGCATTAGCAAGGAAGGCTTCTTATTAGTCTTGAGTCATTTGAAGTTTTTAGTCATTTTCTTTGTTATTGTCTAGGTAGTTAATATTTCTAGAGTAAGAAGAGGAGGCTCTTTAGTATTTATTCTATTTATCAGATTCTCGTAAATGACTTCAGCTTCTATTATCTCTATTCCAGTTTCAATAACTTTATTCTTAACTTTGTAATTAGTCTCTTCTTTCCTGCTTAAATAAACACAAGCTTTTAAATTTTAAAAATCTTCTTTATTCTCTCTTCTCTTCTTATTAGTTCTCTATGAGCCAAAGTATAGGCATAAAGAACAATTTTATTAGTTAATTAGTATATGAATATATATACCTAACTTGCTTATTTAAATACCAAACATGATGAAGCTCATACAACTGCTGAAAATTCTATAGTATTTAGAAGATATTTATATAAACACTTTTCTGATTACTCTGTATTCTTTGTTATCCTGTTCTTAATATTCCAACTGATAAATTTAATCACTTTTGGAATTGGTTTTTTACTGAATATTCTGCTTCTCAATTCACTGATATAACATCTTTATTGTTTAATTATTGCAGATGCTACATACAAAATAATATTCCTTTTGAATATTTTTTAAAAATAGTTTTTTCTATTAGATATACAAACCCTGTTGACTTTGATTTAATTATCCAAAACGCATATAATTTAACAAATCAATTTAAATTAGACATCTTTAATACCCTTTATAATTATAGTAAAACTGCAGAAGAAGAATCCTTAGATTCTGATTCTGATTTATCTGAGTTTAATTTAGATACCCTATTTCAAACACCTCTCTCTTCACCTATTATAAACCCTGTTAACAACCAATATTAGTTATCAGATCTTCAATAAGAAGGTCTTGAGGCTCTTTCTCTTAAATTATTGTTTGAATAGTATCTTTGGTTGTTATTATAGTTATATCTTTGATTTCTATTTTTTTTTTATTGGTTATTCTTTTTTGTTTAGTATTGAGTGATAAAGTATTTGTTTTTACTATAGTAATAGCAAGTAGCTTGAGATCTAGAAGGTCTAGGAGATTTAATATAGTTGGTCTCTTTAATATTAGGTTGTTTCTGTATAAGGTTAATACTTAATTGAACAATTTGTTTAGTTAAAGTTTTAATAGCTTGGTCTGTTTTAGTATTCTTGTTTGATACTATTATATATCTAGTTTCTTATTTTTTCATACTAGTCATAGCAGCATTTAAGATAGCAGGCTCTGATATTTGTATATTAATAGCATATTTAGAATGTAGTCCTTGAATAAAAAGTTAAATAACAAAAGTAGCAGAAAAGGTATTTGCTCTATTGATTTTCTTTTTTAATTCTCTAAATCTATTTATATATGCATCTACAGTATTATTGCTTTGTTTAATCTTGAAAAATTGTTTTTTTCTATTTAGAGATATAAAATCTAGTTCAGTAAAGATGTTTGAAACTTCAGCTTTGATAAGCATTATCATCAAAAGTATTAGATATAGGGTTAAGAGTAGTATACTAATTGAGAGCAACTCCTTTAAGAAAGACAAGTGCAAGTTCAAGTTTTCTAGCATTGTTCTACCTGTTTGCAGTAGTAGCTCTTCTAAATTTTTTAAACCATTCTTCTGAATCTTGGATTCTATCTTTTTAGAAGTATTAAACTTTAATAAAGCTTTTCTCAGATTCTTGTCTTAAGGTATTAGCAAAGTTAGTTATTGCTATAATAGCAGCAGTTAAAGCAACTTTAGCTATTGCAAGTTGTTGTTGTAATAGAGGTAGAAAGTTTATAAATAGTAGTAAATTAAGAAGTGAAGGAGGTATTACAAGATCTTCAAATATTAATAGTATAACTAATGTTTGAGAACTTCCTAGTTTAGAGTATGCCTAAGTTATGAAAGGATTTCACTAATAGAGGTAGTATTCTAACTTAAAATAATAATTATAATAATTATAGTATATAGAGTTAAGAGTAGATATATTGTAATGAGTATATTAAGTAAAGAGTTGACTTATAATTTCTCAGAGATTGTAGTTGTTATTTTGATAAGTACAACTGAATATAATATTCTAACAGATTGTTCTAACAGTAGTTAAGTTATATATTTGGCCTAGGTTATGAAATAAGTCTTGAGTTTTTCTACTATAGGTTAAAGTATTATAGGTTTATTAGTACTAGTTCCAAAATCTTCTAAAAAGTTGATATCAGCTTGTTCTTCTTGTTAAGTAATAGTTAGTGCAAGTTGTGTTAGATATAAGTATTTGAATAACTTGAACAGCTCTGTAGTCTTCAGTTAAGTATTCTTCATAATGTACTTGAATAGCTTCTTAGTAAAATTGTTGTATAGTATAATTCATATAACTTGGTATAAGTCTTTCTCTTATCTTAAAAGATATCTTTAATAAATAATTTATTTCTTCTTTGTTATCTAGGAATATTATTTTTGATTATCTTCTTATTATTTTCTAGGTATATTACTTTTAGGTATCTTTTTTCTTTTTTAAAATTATTTTCTTCTTTGTTTCTAGGAATGTTTCATCTAGGTATTTTCTTTTTATCATCTAAGAATTTTTCGTCTAGGAGTAGAATTACTTATATCTATACTTTGGCTTGTAGGTAATTTACTTTAGAGTTCTTACTTTTTACTTATTAGAAGTAAAGTACTCTGTCTTTTCTTTAGTAAAGAAATATTTCTTTCTTAGTAGGTTTTCTTTTTTGGCAATATTTCTTTAGCTTTTTGTTAATAGTTTTAGCTTTCCTTTCTACTAGAAAACACCAAATGTTATAGATAGCATAGACTTCTTAGTATACTATAAGTAATAGTAATATAGCTATCTAATTACTTTAAGAAGTAGTATCTAAGAGGGAAGTTTCTTTTACTAATTGTAAAGACAAGTTCTACTTTACAAAAAGCAGTTTGTTTAGGTTTATTTAATAACAATATATTTATTAATTATAAATATTTAGAGTCAAGTACAAGAGGAGAAAGAGGAGTTGAGGTCTAAACAACTAAAGGACAAGAGGAGGAATTCTTCTTGTATTTATTACTTTTAGCAAGTATTGTGTAAGTATCAGCAAAGTATCATATAAGTAACTTGTGCAAGCATCACTTAAGCGTTCGTGCAAGTAACAGTTAAGTATCACTATTAATAGTTTAGTATAGTAAAAGGTATAGTACTAAGCATAGTTCAGCATAGTCTGATATAGTCTCTTAGTACAGTCTGGTACAGTATTAGCATAGTATTTGGTGCAGTTTTAGCATAGTTCTTAGCAAAGTATTCAGTATAGTTCAGCACAGTATTCAGCATAGTCTAGCATAGTTTTAGCATAGTATTCTCTTGCTATACTAATGTTTTCTCTAGATATTATATAATAACTTCAGATATAACTTATATTATCATATAGTTAGTATTCTTAGCTACAAAGTTAATTAAAGGTATTTTTTGCTATGAATGCTTCTTGAGATACTTTACTTAGAGGTTAATATTTATAATAATTTTCTCTACTCTAAAATATCTATTAAAATAATATAATATAAGAAATAACTAAATACTAATAAATATAACTAATAATATGAAAATTTATAAATAGCAATCTATCACCATAGCAACCCTTAATATTAGCTAATCATTTTGTAGTGGTAGTACAGTATGTATCAAAGTAGCTCTATTGTTATATGTGTACATGCATAAATCATATATTATAACAAACTTTTTTCATATTATAGTATTATAGTAACACTTTCGCACTTGAAACTTGCAAAAGATAATCTAATACAATCTTAGTACGTATATATATACAGTAAGTACTAAAGTGAAATGACTAGTTCTGAGGGTATAATGACATCATATTTAAAATCTTTAGTTTAAAATCCTTAGTATAAGTTAAGCCAAATCAAGTTTAAAGAACGAGGCATAACTAAAGTAAATCAAAAAAAAAAGTATCAACCAAAAAGAAGCAAAAAAATTAAAAAAAAAAGCTAAGACAAACCAAAAGCTATCACAAAAAAAAAGCTAATAATAAACTAAGAAAAAAAAAGGAGTGAAGAAATGAAATAAAAAAAGACAGCAAATTGAAAGTGACCCTAACAAAAAAAGAGTGAATAAATAAAAAAAAAAAGGAGCAACGAAAACAAGAAAAAAGGAGCGAAGAAACTAAAAAAAGGAGCAAGAATGACAAAAAAAAAAAAAAAAAAAACTGATAAAACAGAACTATTAAAATATAAAATTAACTATTATTTGGTTGAAAAAACAAAAGTAAATTTCATGCTATACTAAGTAGAAAGTTTAGACTTAAAAGCAATTTAATTTTGTTACTTTAAATATTTTATTTTTAAGTATCACTGTACCTTGACTCAAATTACTGTACCTTTTTGTAAATCAAAGATCATTTCTTTATAATTTACAACATTTGTTTAATTATGGATGAGTCAGAGTCAGATATTGAACTTGAGGTGTTGATAGAGTATGACAGTGCAGAAGATTTTTCTGAAATAGATAGGTAAGTTAGAATATTTATTAATTAATTATTACAATATAATGATTAATTATTTTTAATTTACTAATCTTTTAGCTTTGATGATAACGAAGTTATTTCAGATCTTTCTGTTAGTAAAATATTCCAAAACTAGTATCAAGCAGTGTGTTTTATAAAGAAGTATACTGCAGCTAAGGGTCACAGAATTCGAATCAGTAGTGGTAGAAAAAAAAATACAACAACACAAAAAATATTAAAACAGATATACTTATATTATCATTCTGGAAAGCCTTTAAAGCAATTAAGTAAGATGTCTTGTCAAGTAAGATTCCTATAGAAAGTAAATATTTAGCTCAAAAAGGATAAAAATTGCTTTGAAGTTACTACCTTAAATAATGAACATGTTGGTTACAAACTTCATCCATTAGCAAAACAGTTCAATCTAATGTTAAGAAAGCTACTAAAAGAAATTCTTGAAGAAATTTGTTTCTTAACAGTCATGGCAAAAGCAGATGCAACAATGCAATATTGAATAATTCAAAAGAAATACAAAACTAGAATACATAAACTAGACCTCTATAATGCTATTAGTAGATTTCGGCATGATTTTGAACCAGTAAGAGACGATATGAGAGTATTGTTAAAAAGGTTGTATGAGAAAAAAATTGAAGATCCTCATTGGGTGTTTTCAATGGAAATTGATCCTGTCACTTCTTCTCTAACTTATCTATTTTGGATGAGCTCTGAACAGCAAATATTATAGTTATGTTACTATGATATAATAATGTATGATAACATATACAAAACTAACTGCTACGATCGACCTTTATTAATTTTTGTTACTTCAGATAACAATTTAAAAACACGAATTGTGGCTCAAGCAATTGTTGATAATTAGACACAATCTTCATATAAATAGGTTTTCAAATACATTAAGGATGCAACTAGCTTAGTACCAAAGGTTTTTGTAACAGATGGTGACTCTGCAGTTAATAGTGCTATTATTGCTCAATTTCCTGGTACCTTCTACATACACTATATTTGGCACATAAGTCAAAACTTACTAAAAAATCTAAAAGGAGTATTAGATTCAAATTTTACTAATTTTATGAAGAATTTTTATATAATGAGAAACAGTATAACTGAAGAAAAGTTTTCTGAAAGGTGAATGAATAATTTATTATATTATAAAAATTTTGTATTAGTTATTTAAAGTTAATAATAAATTATGAAAATTTGTATTAAAAATAATTAATGATTTTATTTATTAAAGATGAGAAAAGTTGTTACAAGGTTATCCATAAGCAAAGGATTATTTGATAAGATCGTTAGGGTCTAATACTCAATCTTGGGTATATGTATTTACCAATAAATATTTTACTACTGGTGTACAATTAACTTCTCATAACGAGAGTGAAAACTCAACTCTAAAACACCTTTTTGGTGCTTCAAATCTTTTATTATGCGAATTATTTGATGCTTTAAAAGAAAGGTACTAGGAAAAGAATGACTACTGCAAATTTGTAAACTAGAAGCAAGTCATACTACAAATAGGACCACAAAATGTAGTAAATACTATTTTTGAACCTGTTGCAAGACAGCTTAACAAATTCATGATGCCTAATATAATAAAGAAACAGGAGGAGCAAATGAATTTAAGTCTTCACTATCATGCTATAGAAATTAATTTTGAAGTTATATTATTTAAAGAAAAAGTAAGTTTTAGAGGTTAGAACTGGTTTTAATAATTCGAGTTTATCATATAAATTTTGTGATATTTTAGAATTTATTAGAATTTAATTAGATAAATATCTAAAATATCATAAAATTTACATGATAAATTCAAATTATTAAAATCAGTTCCAACCTCTAGTAAGTTTCTTGTAATATTATTTCTGCTTAAGCCAAACCAATTTAATTCTGTGTTTAAATAATCTTACCTTCCTCTATTTTCAAAATTTATATAAACCAATAGACATTAAATTAACTATAGTATTATTTCATTCTTTTTTATTTTTTAAAATTTATATAAACCTAATGTATATTAATTTAACTAACGAAATTAAAGTATTTTCTATTATGCAATATTATTATATATTATTTTTCTGTTTTTCTTTATCTTATTAATTAAATATTATGTAAACTAAGAATTAAATTGGTATTATTTTAATTTGATAAGAGATTATTTATTTGATATTTTTTTTAGGAGATTGATAAACTGGATCAGTATATTGATAACTTATTTGACTGCTCGCAAGTACAACTGAGCTTATTTACAACTGATTCTTCAATAATTCTTGAAGTATGGGAAGTTTTATACTTAGCAAATTCTGGCACCTTCTATTTTTTATATTTTTTAAACAATAGTACTTTTCTTTATACATGTATGATAAGCAAATCTCACAGCTATTCATGTCATCATTTTTATCATATAATGACCTTAACTCCAACTGCAAAATTTCATATTGGGTTGGTGAATAGGCACTGATATAAAGACAGATTACAGGGAACTAAGATATCAAATAATGAATTTGTAGTTGTTTCTTTAGGTATATTAATATCAACATCAAAAACATGTCTCTTGCTAATATGATTTTTACATTTATCTAAGCTTGATGTTAATCGAACTGAAGAGTTCACAAATAAGGTTGTTTTAGAACAATCATCTAACGAAATATTTAAAGCTATTTCAAAAAAACGTAAATTTGATAAACTTTAGAGATTAGAGAGAAAGATAATAATTAACGCAATTGAAGATAACAATGATGATATTTATAATAAGCTTCTTGGTTTTTTTTTGTTAATCTAAAAAAGAATAATTAATAATGATAATATGAATAGTAATCTTAACTATGAGAATTATAGAGAGGTAATTCAAAATCCTATTAAATGAAGACCAAAAGATCATCCTAAAAAATCTGATTCAAAAAGAATTAAGAGTGTTATAGAAAATTTTAATACTAAAACTCAATATAAATATAAGGTATATAAGCAAGAAGGTCATAATAGTAAAATCTGTAAAGAAAAAAGCCTTTGGATATTGATGAGAATGATAAAACCAAAAGGTAGGTTATTAAATTTAAATATCAATGTTAATCAATACATGCTTTTAATCTGTTATTTATTTATAATTTGTACAGTCAATGTAAGTCAGGCAACAAGTTAGAAATTGACCTATGTTTAATATATCTATACTTATTACTAATAATATTTGTTTATATAAATTCCAACAATAGCAATAGTAAAGAATTTTTGACAAGTTATAAATATATACGAGAAAAATCAGATACAGTAAAACCAGGTATTAGTTTAGTTAAAATAATAAATATAGTAAATTATCCTAATATATTCTTACTAATGCAAGTAGTTTATATTTTGATAAGATCATGTGATATTGTAGTATTAGTTTCACTACCTATACAGCAAATTTATCAAAGTTATAGAAATATGCAAAGACAATATAGTGTCTGCAGTTAACAAGGCCATAATTTCCAAATATGCCTAAATAGAGAGCAATTAGATTGAGATTATACAGCTAGAACATAATTATAGCAACTATTAAATGAGTTTAAATTGAAAAGAACGAATATAAGACATTTATTCTTTATCAAAGATCTGTTATAAAAGAATAATAATAAATAAATAAATAACAGCTTTGATATATCTTTGATATCTTTGCTTAATTCTTTTTTCAATTATTATATGGAATATATATTATAAATAATTTGATATCATATCTGAATTCAATATAATTTAAGCTTTTGTCTGATTCTAATATCAGATTTAATATTTAAATATTGAATCTAATTTCAGTTCGTATAGAACATAATAGTGCTACATTTATGAGTTTAGAGTGTAGAGTTTTAATATTAGTTTCAAGGTGTGTTTACATCTATTTCTTGAATTCTTATAGTTTCATTTTTATTATAATTAAAATTTTATAATTTTTATCAATAGATATCTGAATTACAACTTCAAGACTTATTATTATTAGGAAATGTCTATAGTATTACTATAAATCTTCCTTTATAAGCAGTCTCACCAATGAAATCACTAAATACATAATAATTAATTTAAATTCAGAAATAAAGTTTCGAACAAGAATCTACATAATATACGTAATTCTAAAGGAAAAAAAAACTAAGTTTAAATTAAAAAAAATTAAATTGTAATTATTAGTGTTACCTTTTTGTTATCCTATTTAAAACTAAAAATCAAGCTAATTCAGAATAATACATTATAAATCATACTTTCATGTTGATTTTGGTAAGTTATTAATATTTTTTGAAACTGCAATAAAGATTATTAAATATCTTACATTTCTGGCCTCTTTGAAAGTAGTAGTTATAGCCTATAGAGACCTATTTCATGTTAATTTTAATAAGCCTTTTAGACTATTTCGTTAGTTTATTTGAAAACTGCAATTACTTAAGTATTAGTACTATCTACATTGATTTGTTAGCCTATTTTAAAACTGCATTCCAAGTTCGCAGAGGATTAAAATTATCAAAATTATTTTTTTGCTTTAATTTAAGTGAGTATAAGAGTCAATTTAAATATTATAGTTACTGTTAATTAACCCTCTATTCATTCTATTGAAATAGAAGTTAAGGGTCATAAAGTCTGCTAATCAAGCACTTCAAGTTATTTTTATTTATTATATATAGTATTTGGTGAGCACTTGTATTATAGTTGTTAGATAAAATCCTGAGGTTTGCTATTGAATAAAAAATAAAACCTGATCTTGAGAAAAAAAAAAAAACTATAGTATATATATATTGGAAAAATGAAGTAATGAAACTAACTAAAGGTTGTAGTACTCAAGTACCTACTAATAGAATTAGATTATAGCATTGCAAGATTCCAAAAGAATATGATATAAATAACCCAATAGATAAAATACAGGAGCATAGAACAACATTATATATGGAGGTTTGCCTTTTTGTTCATCTTGTGACTTTTATATTTATTATTATTATTATTGTTGGAAAATAACTTATTGCCTATTTAGAAAATATTACAAGATGAAATTGAACTAAACACTAATGATAGAGTTGTTCAAGTGTACTATTTTACTAAGGAACTGATATGATCACATAATGTCCCATTTAAATGTTATTTAAGTGGTTAGTACTTTATTGTATATCATTTTTTAATGTGGTAGTTTTCATTTATATGATATTTATACAAACAGGATGAGCCTTTCTTTGCTACAAAGTTGTTGCCTTTAAATGTGATTAGAAATGAAAAAGATTTCTTGAAAGTAAAGTACTGTAACCGAAAAGTATACTACTTTGTTGCTGATAGTCTCTTTAAGGTGCCCTTGAGCAGCTAGTCCAATTTGTATTTAGGAAAGTTGCAATTGTACAAATGGCATATGCTAAGCTCAGTATATAAATAATGAAAGTATATATATTACTCATCTTTTAGTTTTTATCCTTAAAAAATTTAGCGTTACTAATAATGCTATTGCATGCATTCATAAATACAAATATATATTATTTTATCAGACCATAAATAAACATATGAGAGTAAGGAAAATTTGTCTTGCAAGAACTTCTTGACCAGGCTAAACACTCTTAAAATTGAAATAATTATTAAAATTTAGCTTAATATTCTCAAAAAATTAAAAATTATATTATTCTGATACTTATCAAGAAAAAGCAGGGGAAACTCAGGATATTAAAAAATATGTCAGAAATTAAGTTTTACTCATTAACAAGAAGATTTAGTCAAATACTTTGATCAACAATTCCAAGCAAATGGTTTATAGGTCTTGACCATATGGATAGATCAGAACACACTAGACAAGTAGTATAAAAAAGCGATACATATTAAAGATAATATATTTATTCATTAAAAGTTTCTTTGTAATATTTCTACATTTTGTTATATTATTGAAATCGAATTAAACAATTTTTTATTTGTATGTTTTTAGGATATTAACTAAAAAAAAAAAAAAAGGAAGAAAAAAAACTGTAGCAATATACAATTTTGCGATGAACAATTCTAAATGATCATTATTTATGTATGAGGCATCTTATATGTATATTTATAGCTTAATGAGCTTATTATTCTCTTGAATTACTATATAAAAGTATTGCCAACCTTTATGTTAATCAACAAGATTCTACTGTCATTGCTCATTCTAATGTGATAAGTATATTGATAGAATTTTATTTTATTTGCATCGACCTAGTAAGTATCGATTTACATAAATTTACCTTTTATGAAAAAATAAAATTTATCTAATTTAATCTGTAGTATGCTTAAACTTGAAAATTTGGGTTCCAAGGATTTAATTTATCAAACTAATTAAATATTTTCATTTCTAATTTTATGAAATACCTTATATGACTTAGTGATCGATAATATTATATTAAGTATACTTGCTTGCTTTCATAATGTTGATTTATTAATTAAATATAGCAGGTATACTAATTATAAATTTTTAATTTTTTTAAAAAAGGAGTATAGAAATGTTCAGAGCAAAGACGAGATTTTAATTAGATTATATTTCTAAATGCATATTATAATTTGTATAATTCTATACGTTGTTAGGTAATTTTTTTTTAATTTTTCACTTAAATCAAATTTATACAAAATAATTAAACGTCAATATTTATTTACATATTAAAAATTAGCTCTAAATCATTTTACTATGTACTGTCCAATTTTTGATTATCTTTACGCTACTTATATTTTGAATTTAAAGCTGTTCCTAATTTAGTAAGTATTGTCATTATTTATAAACTCGTAATTTAAGATAATAAAAAGTTACTAATTTGTGTTCTATAATTCTAAATCCCAAATATAGTATATACTTAATGTTATTCAATTTTTGGTTAGAGTATCTTTCTAGAGGTTTCGTCTTTCATCAGAAAGGTTTTCTTTAGCAAAATATATGTAAGTGCTGCCAACATGAAATGATAAATTTATTAAAGTTTCATTTGGTAGCATTTATTTAATTTGCTAGAGTTTTGCTTCTATTTCTCTATCCTACTAGTGGGTTTTATTTAATATAGTAATTTGTTTGAGAACCTCTATTCCTACTATGATAATTTACTTTTTCTTATGATTAGAATTAGAGTAAGTAGATTTTATAATTTTAGTAGTTTGTCATATAATTTATCTTGCTAGAAATAGCAAATTATTATAGTGATAATAGTACCTTTATTTATTTTAATTGTTTTAAATTATTTAAGTTCTATAATTAATGCTTAAATTATTATTTTTGTTAGTTATTCATTAGAGTTAAATAATGAATTATGTTCATTAACTTTTACAAATTATAAACAAATAAAGATTTGAATTGTAAACAAATACTTCATTATATGTTATAGTCTAGATTTATTAATCTAATATAAAAGATTGAAGAGATTTGTTTTTATTATTAAAATTTCTTTTTGATTCTATTTTTATACTTTACAGAAACTAATATTTATTTTTGTTTTCGAACTTTTGTAATTTAATTTTTATTAGTTATTGTTTTTTAAATATTAAAAATTTGACCAATCATATTATTTTTGGTGGGGTTGCCATAACAATGGGTCGCCATAAAATAATGCCCTAATAATATAACTAAAATATAATAATAAAATAACTAAAAATCTATCTTATAATAATATTAAATAATATATATCTCAAGAAGACTTAAGTTGTATAATAAATAAATCTATAAGCAAGTTAGTTAGCTTAAGTAGTCAGATATAATAGTGATATTAGTTTAGAATAAAAAGAAAAGTTAATAATTAGAGTGTTTAAATAGGTAATTTACAGGCAAGTTGAGATATAACAGCATAATGTAGAACTAACAAATAGTCAATTGTCTGTATAGCAGACTACTTAAATTAAATAATGATTAAAGTTGTATATATAGCTTGTTATAAACTCATTATATAACTATAAAACCTTAGGAGATTACTAATTTAGTAACTTTATAATAACAAATTAATAAAATATAATTAGCAAAAGAAGCTACTTTAATAATAATAAAAAAAAATAAAATCTAATTAGCTAAAAAGATAGTCTTGATAATAATAATAAAAAAATTAGAATTTATTATTTTTTTAAGTTATATCTTTATATATTTGATTTTAGTTTTTATAATTTAGATTTTTATATAAAAAATTTTTATTTGTATTCTATGAGTATGTTATCTAGTTT